ATTATTTTAGCCATAAAGCCATTATCATCATTTTCAGTTTGATTTGTCTGATGTATCTGGAGAAGGCGAGAGGTTGAATACACTTGGTGGAGTTGGAGTAGACAGACTGTCACTGTGAGGTACTGGCAACTTTGCTGAATCATAAATTGGATACGTTATTTTAACCCTCAATTTTTGTTGAACAACAATAGCAGTCGGTGGTATGATATCGTGGCTCCTTCCATATCATAGGAATGGCAAATGGCATGCCAATTGGTCTTTTTTTCATCCAGCCATTTAGTCAAACACATGAACAGTTGGTGCAACTATACTGAGGCGCCCATTTTTTGCCATGATTTCCCACCTTGAATCCAAATTAGAAGTCGTAAGCAGTGAAAAACTTTAAATTCATTTTTCTCTTCTGTCTTTTAGTGTTATTTAGTTTTATTTGTTAATGATATAACATAATGACCTCAAGTGTAACAGAAATTTAACATAATAACCACAAGTGTAACAGAAACTGCTTGAACTATTTCTTCAATATTGTCTGCAGATTGAAAACATCCTGCAATAAAATACAGAGAGGATCTATTTTTTGACTTATTTTTTACTTTAAATTGAATATAAATATAAACTTACATTTACACAATTTAAAAAAAGAATGTTTGAAATTTAAAGTGTGCAAAAACTATAACTTAAAACTGATTCAAGATAAAAAAACAAAATTTCAAATTTCAAAAAAATCTGAATGTGTAGGATCAAAATGGATTCCGTTTTCTTAATCAGCTCAAAAATCTGATCTAGAAAAACCTAATGCTGTTAATTGAATCTAAAAAAAGTTTTTTTTGTTGATAAATAAAAGGGCTATTTCAAATTATACGAAGAATTACAGAGTTTAAAGTGTAAAATCTGTTAAATTATAATCAAAATACCTGATTCAACAACAACAGCTATTACAAGGCATTTAAAAACAAAATTCAAAATTGAAATTTTTAAATGCAATAGCTCTGTGCCCGAGGCAGCAGCAAACATTCCTGCTGCCAAAATACCACAAATTTAAAGTTTTTTCAAGGATGACCATAAAACTTTACATGAAATTTTAAGTCGACTATAAGGTATTGATGTGATCCGCTTTCAAACCATTGCTAAAAGTGAAAACAATCAGCATTTTGTGCCCAGGGATACCAAATCCCACAAAACATTCCCAATCTTGACATTAAATACTTCAAGAAATAAGTTATAAATTCTTTAAAATTGAAACTTAAAAATAAACATGAATTTATTCTTACATTTGATGAGTGTACTTCAGTAAAAAATAGGAGATATATAAACCTAAATCTACATCATAATGAAGGATTTCAACTGCTCGGAATGTTAAGACTCCTAGGTACAAAAAAAAGCCATTAAATTGATCAGTGATAAGCTTAACTCATTTGATTTGGATTTGGGCACAGCCATTGTAGCTTCTGTTACTAATGGAGCTAGCTTACTGAAAAAAATTGGCCGTGACACTTAATTTGAACATCAAATGTGTCACAACCACGCCATTTATCTATATGTAACTGATGTGCTCTTTACAAAAGTTGATGTACATGGTTCTGATAATAACCCTGTTGATAGTGATATGGAAGCTGTAGATTTTGATCACAGTTACAGTGATGATGAAGATGGGACTGAAGTTGGTGATATTCAAACTGCTCATGCTGTTAGTGAAAATTCTATTCCATTATTGAAACTTGAATATCAAAAAACTGTGGCAAAAAAAAAAAAATTAGTTTAAAATGTCGTAGATCACCAATGAGCAATGATGCTGAACTTCAACCAAATGTATTTGAAAAGTTTGGAAAAAAAAGTTTTGATTTGTGATTCAAAGACAAGATGGAGCAATACTCTTATTATACTTGAACGATTTTTGGAGGTGCAGGAAATTGGAACAAACCTTGTTCAAAAGAAAATAGCTGTTTTTGAAGCTAGTAAAGCTAGGCCCAAGTATTTAGATTTACTTTTCAAAGATCTTTAAACAATTTATTTTATATCCATAGAAGTTGATAGAGCTTTTTCTAGTCTTGGACTTTTTGCAACTAAAGTAAGAAGTTCTTTAAATGATGAAGCTTTAGATGCACTACTTTTTTTAAAGCAAACTAGGAAGAGTGCTATTTGATATTATTTACTTTTTTCCTATTTAATGATTATAAACAAATAAATTCTTTTAAGCATACTTTGCATTATTTTTGTGGTTTTTTAACAAAACTAAAACAAAGTTTGAATTAGTTCAAACTTTTTTTCATAACAGTTCAAACATGTTCAGGTTCAAACTTTTAAAAAAATATTTTAACTGGAAGCTCTAATAGGAAGATGACTAGTGGGATGGTTGATGAGTCAGATTGCTCTTCAGAATTTTTGAAAATAGGGATAACAGATGCCGCTTTCCAGCAGGATGGATATAGTTTTGAAAGTATAGACAGATAGAACAGCTTTATGAAACACTTCTGCAAGACTATAACAGGTATGTTGTCCGGACCACAAGCTATAGAAGAGTCTGTAAAAGTCAGGCAATGGACTGACCTGTTTGTCGGCTCTGTCAGGTAGACTAGTGGAATCAAAAGATGATTTAGATGAGAAGTTCTTAGCAAACAATTTAGCTTTGACAAAATCTGAACCATACAAAACAGATTTGCCCTTATTATAGATACTGTTAAAGATTGTCCAGAAGTAACGAGAGCCTAATTTTAAACATGAAATACGTATATATATATGTAAACGATTGTATTAAATTTTAATTGGAACAAAAAATCCTATCAAACCTTTGGTAAAACTTAGTTAAGAGTTGCATTAACTCCTCAATTAAACAATATTTTTTTATTCAAAATAAAAAGTAAAATGTTATATTTAAAAACAGTGTAAAAATATAAACCATTCCAAAACATATAATCATAAAAAACCAATATTGGGACTGTCATTTTCATTTTTTTTTTAAACTGTTTTTAGCAAGATTTTCCTCTTCTGTTACTGTTTTTATATATCTGTTTTCAAAGCGATTTTATTTGGAAAAGAACTTTATGGTATCCAAATTTAACAAGATTAAAATATTCAAATAATCACATTTTTAACTTCAAAAATGACTACATTAACATATTAAAAGCACATTATCTGACAAAAAATTTTATAGAACATTCTCCATTACATTATTTGTGAATAGTTAGGTATTTATTGAAATACTGGTTTCCAAAGGAATATAGTAGACAATTTAAAAATCTCTTTTATTTCAATTCTTTTGTAATTTAGTCATATTGCCAAAGATGCTTTTCGTTTATTATATAGACAACAATCCATTAAATGTGTTTGAATACAACAACGTGTAATAATAAACAATTACAAAATAAAACTGTTTATTACATCTTTTTTGGTTATTTTACTATGAACTGCATTTAATAAAAGATTATCTAGAAAAAATTCCTAAACAATCTTTGCTCAATAGAAGTGGATAGCCATACTGTTACAGAATGTACTGATTGTTGAAAGTAATTTCATAGTAATTGTTTTGTAATTGATGAGACTGTTTAGAAAAAAATTGGATTTATCATAAATAAGTATTTAATGGAATGTTAAAACAAATATATTTGGCCATATAGTTATTAATAATAAAAAGTAATAATAATAAATAGTAAAATAAAAAGTAATAATAACTGTTATCATGATTGAAATTATTAATAATATCAATAACAAAATATAACTATATAGTTATATATAGTATAAATTTTTAGGTAAACACCATAATGATAGAAACAATCAATATTGGTAATGTAAGAGCTATATTAATATAGATAATGGTAGATTTAGCATATAAAAATATAAACTTTTTTAATAATAGTACAAGTAATAAATTAAATAAAAATAAAGGACTTAAAATAAAACAAAATATAATTTAAGAATTTAATAGCTAAATGAAGAAAACGAAATTAACAACAAAAATATAAACTGTGCATGTAATAAGTATGATTTTTTTGTAATATGTAATACCATGTAACAGAAATGAATTAGTATGAATAAAAATGAATAGCATATATGTAATAACAATGTAATAAAAATGTAATAATTAAGAATATGCAATATAAAAAAAGAAACTACTTTTAAATATTAAATATATATGCACATTGTAATTCAGTATTCGGTTCACATAAATACTTAGATTATATTAACTAAGCATTTGATACATTCATAATTCAAGTATAGTTGAGTATTGTAAGTGATTATTGAGTTATGAAAAAATTAAAACTAAGCTTCAATTAAAAAAGATTGTGTTCCATTTATGATGATAAAGAAACCCAAGAAAAATTTTTTTTTTACTGGATACAATATACATAAGTAATAAATACTTTTCCTTATACGGCGGAGTTGTATTTGATTCACGGGGTCAGGGGAGGGTAGCATTTCTTAGTTAATTTCTTTTAAAAAACGTCTAAAATAAATTATCGTTTTAATCACACGTGAATCAAATTCACTTCCGCCCAGTAAAATTATGTCTTTGCGGCTGTTCATATGGATAAAAAACATCCCGCCTAACCGGGGTACCCCGGTTAGGCGGGATGAATTTCAGCTGTGTTCATATGGAAAAAACATCTCGCTCTAGCGGGACGTTTTTAAGATCATGTGACATTTGTTTATATATAATCATTCGCGCAAATTATTAAATTAAAAATGGAAGTTAAAAAAAAAATAGCTTCCATTGCTACAACTAATATAATAGCTCTCCAATCTTATTTAATGCACATTTGAAGTATAATAATATTACGTATTTTACAAAATGAGCATCAAATTAAACTTATCACTAACAATCTTTTAAGGCAAAAAAAATTTCGCCTTAAAAAGCTTAAGGACAAAATGTTAAGAAAAAATAGTATAAATCCCCGTAGCTGTTGGTACAAACTTGGACGGTCTCATAAGTGGTGGGAAAACATGATAACTGGTGGGTCTCCAGAATTTGCTGGGTTAAAAATTTTAGATTGTCAAAAAGTGCATTTATGGATTTGGCCGAACAACTTAAACCATACATAGCCCCTAATCCGAAATCCCCTAATTATAGAGCTTTGAGCACAGAAAAAAAGCTTGCAATTACTCTATACTATCTTAAAGATACTGGTTCTTTATTATTGACAGCCAACTGTTTTGGGATTGCAGTAAATACCGTCTCTTTAATTATTACACAAGTGTGCGAAAATATTGTTTACCACTTAGGACCAATCTATATATCTCTACCGAAAACAAAAACCGAAATGAGACAAAAGGTAGCTGAGTTTGAATCCAAGTTTGGTATGATTCAAGCTTTTGGTTGTATAGACGGTACACATGTGCCAATAGCCTGTCCTGTTGAAAACTCTCAGGATTATTTTTGTTATAAACAATATTATTCCATGAATGTTCAAGCAGTATGTGATTATAAAGGAATGTTTATGGATGTAGAATGCGTTTGGCCTGGAAGTGTTCACAATAGCAAAGTATTTGCAAACTCATCCATAAACAGAAAACTACGCAATGGTTCCTTACCAGGAATATTTCAATCAGTATTACATGGATACGAAAAAATTGGAACATATATTATTGGTGATCCAGCCTACCCCTTGACTCCCTTTTGTATAAAAGAGTATCAAACTTGTAGAAATAAGCATTTAACAGCATGCTTCCATCGGCTCGAAACCCTATCGAATGTGCATTTGGGAGATTAAAAGCTCGCTGGGCAATCCTTACCTGAAAAATAGATTTTAAATTGGAACTTGTACCAAAAATTGTTTATGCTACATTTTTTTTACATAAAACATTAGTTGATTATGACAGTGTAAATAAGCAAGTTCAGCTAACTAAAGATATTGAAGAAACTTATATTAATCAACCAAACCCAGTATATTCAAATAATACAGCAGAAGGAGAATTCACAAGAACATTGCTTACATCTTACATTTCAGAATGTTTGCCAAACTAATAATGCTTAAATCATAAAATCACTTATGATGGTAAAATTACAGAAAATTTCAGCATAATTGAAATATATAGTTTTGCTTATATACTTTTATTACTGCTTTGCTAATTTTTAATTATTGTATTCATCAAAATCTATATGATAAATAAACAAAAAGTATTTTGAATAGTATTGTACTATACAAGTACGTAAAATACTATAAACCTTTACTAAACAACATTAATAAAACAAAGTTATGGATGTGTTTCATATTATAAAAAACTATCAACTATCTATTAACACTCTCACATATCAACAGGTGCTCTTTAGTCACAGAGCAAAAAAGTATAATTAAATGTGTGTATAAAACAGTTTTTCTACTTTCCCTTTTTTTTAGGAGCTGATTCAGAATCTTAAAAATTTTGAGAATATGTAGGTGCATTAAAATTGTAATAAGTTGGAATAGGTTGGTGTTGTGGCAAATAATGTGGTTGAATAAGTTGCATTGCCATTGCTAACATTTCAATTGAACGACACATGCTATTACCCACATTATTCATGGAATTGCTTACTTGCTCTAGTGATTTAGCAAAGCTTTCACTTGATAAACGTAAACTTTCAGCCAAATCAGTTTTAAATTTAGCATCTTCTTTTGCTTCAGCGAATAATAGTTTGTCACGTTGACTTGCAGACAAATTTTTTTCCAAATGTTTACGCTTGTTATCAATTAATTTAGGAACTACATTTGTCTTTCTTTTACAACTTGGTGTAGCAATAATCACGTTTCTTGTTTCAGAAAAGTATTCTGGTGGTTGCGTTGATAATTGGTCAAGAGATTCTTTATTAATAAAATTATATTCAGTTTCTTCATTATAACTGTTTATGTTTTCTTCTTCAACTTGACTACTTTTCATACCAAATGACAAAGGTTTTATATTTGCTGAAAAACCCCAAATTTCAATCAACTTATCATGGAATTCGTATACAATTTTTCCACTTCCACTCTTCGTTCCTAAAGTGACAGCTTTTGAAAAGTTTTGTCGTACATCTTTGACTTTTTCAATAATTCTAGACCTTCCGTTTGTAATAAATTCAGTCTCTTTATGATAAAGTTTTTTATATTCTTTATCGTCCATATCACCTTTTGTGGTAAACTTACATTTTCCATATGTATTTGATTACTGATTATTTTAATTTGATCGTAAATTTTGATTTTGATTTACCATCAGAACTAGAACATTTCTAGGTAATTATCCATATTAAGAACATGATTTTTGAGTTTCGACTTTAAAGAAGTTATATTGTCTGGGAGAGAAATCGAGGTATAATTCGGAATTAATTTGTTGAATAAATATGAGCCACGATAAGAAATAGAAAATTGAGAACTTTTTTTTTTTTCAGGGGTACAATATAGTTACCAGTTGCTCTTGTGTTAAATTTATTGACATTAGATTGAAAGAAGTTTCCTGTGAATCGGTTTGGAACTAATCCTAGTTTGTATTTAAGCATGAACAAAATGTTAGCGTAGATAATAATTTGGTAAATGTTTAGTGCTTTCATTTCTTTTAATAGGGGTTTAGCGTGGGTCAGCTTGTTTTTACGATGCATTATTCTAGAAGCATGTTTTTGTCGTCGATAAAGAGATATTAATTTTGTCTTGTGTGTGCTTCCCCAGGCTATGTTGGCATATGTGAGATAACTATGTATAAAGGAAAAGTAAAGAAGTTTTAGGTTTTTTTGCGATAAAAATGGTCTAGCTTTAAAAAGTATACCAATACTTTTAGATATTTTAGTGTTGATGGCATTTATATGAGCTGTCCATAAAACATTTTCGTCAATAACCACACCAAGAAATTTAATTGTTTGGGTTCTTTCAATTTTTTTGTAGTCAATACTTAGTGTCGGTAGAATCGATGGTAGTTTGTTCTTCTGTTTCTTTGAGTGAAATAAAATATATTTAGTTTTTTGCGCGTTTAATGATAACTTGTTAGCACTGAACCATGTTTTAAGATTTTGAAGTTCAAAGTTGACTTTATCAAAGAGGTCATTGATAGAGGTAGATGAATAGAACAGATTGGTATCATCTGCAAACATTATACAATCGAGATTTGTAGAGGCTTTAGGAAGATTGATAATGTAGATAAGGAATAATAAAGGTGCAAGAATAGATCCCTGGGGGACACCGCATTTGATTTTTAATAACTCCGTATTAGTGATACCGTCTATAATAAAACATTGTTGCCTGTTATTTAAATAATTAGTGAACCATTTATTAGTTTGATTTTTTATACCGTATTTTCTCATTTTTTCGAGGAGAATTTTATGGTTGACAGGATCGAAAGCTTTTGTAAGATCGATAAAAACTCCCAATACAAATTTTCCTTTATCAAATGACGAGCTAATGTTGTCCATTAGGTCTAAGGTTGCATGTTCCGTAGAATGATTAGTTTGAAAGCCGTATTGACATTCACTTAGAATTTTATTGTCTGCTAAATATTTATAAAGTCGGTTGTACATTATTCTTTCCAGGAGTTTGGAAAACACTGGAAGAATTGAGATAGGTCTATAATTGGTTAGCAATGCCGTGTCTCCAGTTTTAAATACAGGTAAAATCTTCGCAATTTTTAATTTGTTTGGAACAACTCCAGTTCTAATTGAAGATATAAATATATATATATATATATATATATATATATATATATATATATATATATATATATATATATATATATATATATATATATATATAACTCCAGTTTATATATATATATATATATATATATATATATATATATATATATATATATATATATATATATATATATATATATGTATATGTATATATATATATATACATATATATATATATATATATATATATATATATATATATATATATATATATATAAATATATAGGCTGACTAGATTTTTTTTTAAAAAAGAGTATATTTTTAATACCTCACAATAAGCCAATAAAAGCGATGTTTATCGCAGTAATCACAAGACATATAATAGACATTTAAAAAAGATACGCATTAAAACATAGCCTGTTTTTTTATACATATTAAACACGTCTTGTGATTACTGAGATATTTTCAGTCAAAATAGTCAACAGTCTATAAATTGGGTAAAAAAAATTGGATTAAAAAAATTTTGTCATATGAAGACATTTTATTGTATTGGACCATTATAATTTATTGTTAAATTGAAAAAAATAAAGATAGCAACAGTGGGTTAGTAAAATAACAGCTGTTTTTTAAAAAAAACTTAGCTTATAAACAAAATTAAGAGGAAAATAAGAAAAAATATATTCAAGCTATTTTACCCAAACAATTTTCTGGATTTTTAAAATATTATCTGGATGATCTATGATATGTATATTGTATAAAACTATGATTGTATGTATATTAAAAATGTTATTTGTTTTGTAGCATATATTCTTACTGCAGAATCAGTTAAAATCAATAGAAATTGATTTTAACACATCAAAAAAAACACAAGAAAACTCCTATAAGACAACAAAACAGAAAGAGAAAAGAAAAAGCCTTTTTGAAGAACCGTCTTTGTCATCATTGCCATTGTGGGAGCCACCAAAGCTTCCTGATTCCAGTTTAAAATACATTTAAAATTTATTTATCCCTTTTGCAAAAATAATCATTTTTTTTTTCATTTTTCTGGTTTATTTGCTTTTTTAGTTTCAACTTTTAAATTCAAAAAAAACACTATACTATAATTAGAATATTGTGAAAGAGTTTTTATATCATTTAAGAGTATTTATAATCATTTTTAATCTTGTTTTAGAACTTTCTGTCTGTCTCTGCCTCAGTGGATCAACTTGATGATGACTTGCCAGTTAAACAGATAGTGTTTCCATCCGAGTATCAGTCTGTTTCACAAATTCAACCGTTATTACATTCATCTTCTTGCATTTCTTTACTATCTCAAAAAACTGGAATAGACCAAATAAATAACTTTATTTACCAGCTAATTCAGTTAAAGAGTTTAACTCACTAGGAAACCATAATTGCGAAACACTTGAACAAATCTAAAGATCGTTATTTTGCTACAAGAAAGAGAAATTCATCTTTAATAATTGATATACAAGTACACAGTCCTGCTATAAAATAAATTTAAACACTGACTCGTGTAGTGATTCCAGTTAACTTATTTTTTTTATTTGTTCTATTATTATTTATTCACTTTTTTTTTAGATATTTTATTTGTTACAACTTTTTTAGCAACTTGTTACAACTTTTTTAGCAAGTATTTTTGAAAGTTGATAAAGATTAAAAAAAACTAAAATTTGACAGAAATTTTATTCTATTATCTTTTTAAATATCTTTTAAAACTATTAAAATTATTAATTTAAGCAAAATCATTTAGTTGTTAATGACTTTTTATTTTTCAAAAGTAATCTATATTTTTTTTCTTTTAACATTTTATAATGGCTTTAACATTTATAATTTTTTATTGAAACAAGTATTACATTTTGTATTTAATTTGTTATAAATGCAATCTTATTTTAATGGTTATAATTCACTCCCCTAAAAAATATAGCACGCGATTCTTTGAGCATATCTTCTAACCTAGCCGATATTTTCTAGCCTAACAGTTGTAGTTATTCTTACGAGTTTTCACTAGCTAGTCGCTAGCATATATAGCTAGCGATCCTCGTGGCCAAATCGCTGCCTTTATTGTAACGAATTGTCATTAGCTGTTCGCTAACTTGTTTAGCTAGCGGTCGCTAGGTTATAAAGATAGCGATCCTCGTGGCCAAATCGCTGTCTTAATCGTAACGAACATCGCTAGCTATTTGCTAGCCGATTTCTCACCGGGTAAATTTACTTATATTCTACAATAACTTTGACATGATCTTGTACAATAGTAATGCAAAAAAGTAAAGTCTAGAATTCAGGCAAAGCTGAAATATGGCAGTGAGCAGAAGGCGCACATACCCATGGGAGACTAGGAAAGGGTAGACTATTTGAAAGACATTATTGGCATAATTGCTAGTTCTTTTTAA